TTGTATGTTTCTTCTAGGATGCCTGCATCCCACTAGTACAACATTCACCTTATCACTTAGCCATGGATGGGAAGACCTTCAATCTTATTAAAAAGTATGATCAAGTTCTTTTACAAAAGGTAAATGAATAGTAGTTCCACCCACATCCAGTTGATCTCAGCATTTCCAATATTGAATTGTTAAATAAATTGTAAAAGCAACTGTTTTATTATTTTACTGTCATAATTAAGAACACTTTTTAAAAGTTAAAACTTTTTTTAAATCTTGCAGTTGTAAAAATGGAAGTATTTTTCTATTTTAAGTACGATTTTTCTGTTTATTCTCATTATATATATATAATTGAAAATGTAGCCAATTACATAAACCATTTCAACTTTTTTTATCATGGAAATTGCAATGTGTTTTTGACACTTATGCAATAAAGTTACTTCTGTCAGTTGGTAAGAATGGCTTATCCTTTTGTATGAGCAAGAAATTTTAGTGCTTCAGTGTTTTTTATAGAAATTGCAACAGGTCATGTTTAGCAGTGCAATTTCATATATTTTAATTTTTCAGGTGGTCCACAAGGGTACAATTTTTGCAAGAATGCTTCCTGAGCAAAAACTTCATTTAATAGAAGTACTACAGTTACAAGGGTAAGTGTAATGCTATCTTAGGAATATTGTCAAAACAGCATGTGTTTTAATAAAACTGAATGTTAGCTTATGTTTACTGAATAAAAACGTTAAATTGTAAATTGCAAAGGTGACCACATACAGAGTTTCAAGAAATACATATAGCCATAAAATTTTCAAACTTAAATATGTCCCTCTGTTAAGAAAAATATAGTATAATATAATAATATTAATGGTAATTCACATATTTTTAAATAATATATATTTCTATAAAAAGCAGTCTCTTATTCAACAGCAGCAGAAATGGTAGGGCATTTTGTAGGAAATATAGCTGGCATTTAATGTGTTTTTTTTTCTGAAAATCTATAGAAATATGCATTATTCTATGTAGAATCCAGAGTTATATGCCAATACATAGTAGGATAACATCCAAAGAAGCTATTATTGGTTTTTGTCAGTAGAGTTAAGTAATTTTTTACCCTAATTCAGACAATGGTTTGTTTGAAGTAAAGCACAAAGCTACACAATGGGCTATCGGTGCTCTGCCCACCATGGGTATCGAAACCCGGTTTCTAGCACTGTAAGTCAGCAGATCAGACGATGGCCATGACACTGTTGTAGTACATTATCTATGAAGTACTTATCATTTCCAAACTTTCTGTGAAACTTGTGAAGAACTGCCGAGACAACAAGTCAGAATCTCTGAGTGTTTGTTCTTGACGAGGTGGAAAAAGAGATTTGATTCACAGCTAACCTAGGAAAATGTACAGATATATCTGATGGGTTGCCCTAGAATGGGGATGAGAGCAGAACAATTCAAGATCAGGTAAGAAATGGAAAATACAAAGACTTTCAGAGTGAAGTGCAAGAATATTACAAGGATAAGAGTACTAAAATAATAGCAAAACAGCATGAAAATAGTGAGAGGTCCACTTTGGTCAGATAGAAACACCTTAACAACTACTTGGATAACAGAAAACTGCATTGTAAAATTATTCCCGAATTATGCCCTACACAACCACGTACCTCACTCTTAGGCTTCTGGATTTACAGATCTGATGGGATACCCCACCACCTACCCAAAGAGTAATATTTTCTGCTGTTGAGTCAGAGATTGCTTATTAAAAATATAGATTCAGAATAAAAATACCTTTTGCAACAGTAGAAACACTCCAATTAAACTCGTTTTTTAATCTACATTTATTTTTCCAGTCACCAGGTGGGGATGTGTGGAGATGGAGCCAATGACTGTGGAGCACTGAAAACTGCTCATGCTGGTGTTTCCTTGTCTGTTGCTGAGGCATCTGTGGCTTCTCCTTTTACAGCTAAGAAACAAAACATTGAGTGTATTCCAACACTCATTAGGTGAGAGGAATATTATTCTGAAGAAACTGAAAGGGTAAAAAAAAAGTAAAATACTACATTTCAAGCAAATTAACAAAGCTTAAGTCACACCAGAATGTCATTCCAGGACTTATTTTTGTAACCAGAATGATGTTCCAGCACTTTTTGACAATAAATAAGATTCTCTTTAGGGTGAATTCTGTTCAAATTTCACACGTGAAAAAGATAATATTGTTGTCTCATTATAGGAAGTTGTGACAGCAAACTCGCACTTCCTGAGCATAAAATGAAATAAAATATTAGGTATTTTTGTCAATTTATTGTTTGCAACATTTTCCATAGATGTGATTCCATTTATTGTTTCTTTTGGGCTCAATAAACACTGGATGTAAAAGGGGAAAATAAATAAACAACCAATTCTTTTAAATGAACTAATAAAAATCATTGTTGAAGCAAACAGCAGGACTGTATTGTATATCGTTTTTTTCTTTACTCTGTTACACACAAGGTGTGTAGGGTTATTATTATTATTATTATTTACATCCTCATAACATACTCCTATAGCACAATGTGACCAACTTATTTGTTTTGCAATAGTAACAGTAAATATAATATTGAAACCATGTCTTCTGAACAGAAACCTTAGTTTTTCAATGTTACTAGTTTTTAAACATTTTTTGCTTCTGTTTCATTAACTTATTGTTTTTCATTTTGACTGTCTTTTTTTTAGTATTTATTATTAACTAGTGGAGGTACATTCTTTTTAGTTAATTTATAGCAGTCGTTGAAATGATATATTGTGTTCCAGCACTTCTTTTTTTGGACTCTAGCATTGCAAAGTAATGTACATTAAATAAAGAACATACTGATAGCAAATTATGACATATATAGTAAAGCTATTTATTGGTGTAGTGGAAAAGTTGAAATCATTTACTCACTATCAACCAAGTAAAAAACATACAAAGAACCATGTTGAGTATTTATTGTCAAAGTTAAGTTATGTATTTGTAGTTTTAGGAGAAATCCTGAATGAAATAATTATAAAGTTAAAAATCAGACACTTAAATAAAAGTTTATGCATATACTTTAAAACATTTAATTCAGTAAGTAACTTGTTCAAATAGAAATAAAAAGGCATTGTAAACACTGAAATATCAAGATATAAATTTATGTTTTTTATGAATTTGTATTTAGTAATACTCTGTTTACCTTAACCATTCTGATCTCTCAGCAGTATAAGAAATTTTAATTTCATCTGACAATGAACTTACTAGTTTCATTATCTTTTTTTCTCTAGAGAAGGACGAGCAACTTTAGCAGCTACTTTTGGAGCATTTCGTTACATGGTGTGCTACTGTTTCATTCTTCTTTCTGCTGTTCTCATTCTCTTCTGGGTAGGTCTTCACATTCATCATTATTTAACCATCTTACTTGACATATTCAACAATACAGTGAATAAAAATATACTATACTGTTTGTATTAACATTACTAACAATTGTTGAAAGGTTTCATTAAAGTTCATTTATATAAGATCATCACTTTAAAGTCAAACACAAGCAGTTTTTCAAGGAAATTACTGAATATTACATAGTTCTGGATGTTTTGTTAGGAATATCTAAAATAGTTAATAATGTTCATAGCAGACATTCTTTGCTTGGAATTATATTAAGGTTTCTGATCGGTATGACTTTCCTTGTAATCATGGTGTAACATCATAACTACTCAACTCTATGAAAAATGAGTGTATTCATAATCCATTATAGGCTTAAGTTTAGCTGAAGGTGATGCCACAACAGGTATATTTTGCAAATGGTAGGTTAAAATCATGATTTGGGCAACTTTCTGTGAAATTATTATGTTCATTTTTGTCAGTCAGATAAATGCAGTTACATTTGAAAATTTTAAAGAAACTTTAAACCTTTTTTACAATAATTCCATTTCATTTCTAGATCCTCTCTTTGATAAGAATGAATCTTTTAATCTTGCTAGAGTAGTTATGCCCATTCACGTCATTATGAAGGTCTGTAGTTCACCATTCAGTGTCCTAACCAAAGCTGTAACTTAATTACTCAACTTTAAGTTTATTAATAAAATGTAAAAATTAAAACTGCTGTTCTAATTCATTGGGCAGATGTTCCTTTAAATGTTCTACACATTTTTACTACCTTGATTAATAATGTATAAAAATGTAAAATATTTTACTGTTATTAACAGCTATAATAAATCTGGAAGCCTAGTTTATTTTTTTCTTCTTTGGAGAAACGTTTTGAAAGAAACATTGTCAATAATAATTACTCAGCTACCCATGTAACAAACTCCACTATAATTAGTATATTCTGGTTTTTATTTTTTAGAATATTTTACCTTTATTTCTTTAACATTAACAATTTTCATATTTGAATAAAGGATGGCGAGAAACCTTCGGACGGAGCATATGTGCTGATTGACATCATTCTGAACTTGCTTCCTCCTATAGTGTGTAAGTTTTGTGATGATATAAATTATTTTGTTCTTAAGTAAATGACAAAGTTAGAACATTTCTATTTATATTTCATGTCCTAGAATTTAAAGATGAATATCTGATAAAAGTATTGACAATATAAAATTTTTTGTATACGTTTCTCTACAATTGAACTTGACATACTGGGTTTACTTAACTTTATTTTGTCCAGTTGGAGGTACAGCTGCCTACCCTTATCTTGTTAAAAAGCTCCCCACGAGAAGTATCCTCAGCTTTGTGATGCAGTTTTCCATGATATCCTACATCTTGTTGCAAATCGGTGTGCTAATCTTTGCTCGATACTTTCTTTTGATGCAGCCTTGGTAAGTTTCAACTACCTTGTACAAAAATTTAAACTTATGAATGAAATTTTCAAAGCTTTCAGGCTGACTTTCATTAATATTTATGAAACTGAATGTTAGTCTATCAGCACTAAAATGTTTTTCTAAGACTTTGATAAATTAAAAATATTTTATGAAGTCACTATGTTTCTATATTTTTTGTGGAAATCTTCAGCTATGACTGTAGTTAAAGGAGATAAACAGAAAAACGACTTTAAAAAGTAAATTAGAGTAGAAATAAAACTTTGCAATGTTTTTATTCAAATAGTTATAAAACTAAAGCCTCATTCAAACAAACAAAAGGTATAAAAATTTACAGTTTGGAATGCCAAAAGCTGATAAACCAATAATTAACGTTTATTTAAAGAATCTCAATTGCTGTTTCTATTCACATTTCTCATAATTTGGTTGTTACGCTGTGTAAAGACAAATCTACCAGGTGCTACAAGTTTTATAACAAATACTATGCTAAAATAATAATAACCCATCTGAGATTTTTACTAAAAAACTGTTTTAAATGTTCATGCATGCTATTGTTTACATAGTTCTTTTTTTGTGTGTATTACAAAATAAGGAAATTTATTATTTTAAATATATTCGTAATGCTTACAAACTGAAAGCTCTTTTATAGTTACATGTAATGTGCTAACTGTTGCTGCTTGCTATATGATTTTTCTCTCCAAAGAAAAGAAACACTGTCAGCATTTGAGAAACATCTATTTTTATCCACCTGTTTATAAGTTTGAAATAACTTTTTCATCAATTCTGAAAACAATTTGTCTAATGATAATGCACTAAATAAATATGTTAACATAATTAACTCAATTCTGAGAAAATTTAGAATAATTTTCCTCTTTAACAGTTGTAAAGATAGTTAATAATAATTAATAGTTTTAAGTTAATAATTTTTATCTTGCAGATAATTCTTTATCTAAAACTGAATTGATATGAATTTGGTAATTTCCTCTCTTCAGGTTTGAACCTACTGTATACAATAAGGAAACGACTCTTCATCCTCCACCTTCTCACATGGCTTGTACCATAATTAGCGTCAACATGATGTCTTATATCATCGCTGCTGTTATTTTTGCCCCAGGACCACCATATAGGAAACATTTCTTTTCTAACAGTAAGGACAAAATTTGATTACTTTTATCAACTTCTAAATATGCAGGTACAGAATAACACATTCACTCGTTTTTTGATGAATGTTTGTAATGCTCACAAAACTGAACATCAAGAAGGAATGAAAGAAAAAAAGCTTGACTGATGTTACACAGATGTTATTTGTGTAGTTCATGAAAAATATTCACTTGATGTTACTGTCAGTTAAATAAAATGTTACAAAAAAAACGAATTATACTTAATCTCAACTAAAACAAAGGCATTAAAAGTTGTTAAATCATTAACTTCTTATTGGAGCAAACTATGTACTTAGAGCAAAACCATAAATCAACACTAGCAATCATTATAGTTAAATAAACATTTATACTTATAAAGATTAGAATGTATCATTTCATCTTTTGGGTATTCTAACTGTTAACAATATTTCAGGCCATAATCCCTATAATATCTCGTGAGGTTCGACCAGTTTAAGAGATTTAAGTTAGCCCTAAAGGCATGTATGTTCATCGAATGATTTTCTATATTTAGTTGCAACGTTAATGGTTTTACTGTATCAACATAAAATATAATCATTGCCAGCTGCTGCAGATGTAGTAAAACCAACTAGTGACAGAAATAAGTGAATTGTTCAAATTATTTACAACATGAGAACAAAGTTTATAAGCCACAATGCATTAACAATGAGTTTTATTGAAATTATAGCAGAATAATCCATTACAAGTAAATCAACAAAACACTACAGTCTTTAAAAAAATAATAAAAGGTGTTGTTGAGACTTTCTTGAAATACTTGAAAATTAAATGAAGTTGATTTTTTTCTTTGAAAATTGTTGATATGTAAAATACATATTCAGGCATGAGTACTTCAGAAGTTTTTAGAGAAGGTTCATATTTCACTACAACAGTAAAGAAGCTTAAAAATTTGATCTAATTATTCCAGATGTTAGACCACTTTCAAAATAATCTTACACTAAAATGTAATAAAATAATTGTTGACAATGTTTTTAATTTAGGACAGTTCTTCTGAAAATGTGATAAATAAATCTAAGGGTTTGTTTCTTAACATGCTAAGTCATTATATTGTAAAATAATTTGAATACGAGTTATAAAAAACACGCATACAGTGAAATATGAAATCAGAAAAAGAAATCTTAATTTGTTAAAAACACAACAAATACGTTAACATCAGAACCTATTACCATGTGT